CCCCCCCAAGTCATTTGGAAATAACCTTAATATATTTAGCTGATGTCTTTCTTCCTTGGTAATTTGTTTGCTAACGCCTTAACGTTCCAGTACAGCTCACAAACACAAAGTCTGCTTTTATAGAGCTGCTGATAATCAGCCAAATTGGTGCATTTCATCAGACAGGCATGGCTGCTCCATCACTTCGTACCTCCCTTGGAAGCAGAAAGGCTTTAGTTTGGTGCAATCTGTTGGTTACTTTAGCTAGGAAACATTTATGGAACCGGATCTACATAATTTGGGATTATTTGTAATGTAATGAATTGGGATTGGTTGGGTTACAACTGTATTATTAGATTGTTTTAGACTTTAATTGCAGAGTATCTTTGAAGTGCCCAGAGATTACATGTGTAGATAGTGGTTTTTGGCAAATACAAACAAAAACTTTGAAACGTAAAGACTAAAAAGTAATCTAACAACAAGACAGGACAGAAAAAGAAAGAATTGAATTCAATTGTATTTATAGAGCGCCGAATCACAAAAACAGTTATCTCACAGTGCTTTCCAAACAGAGCAGGTCAGACCCTACTCTGCAGAAAATTTCACCAGTTCAAGTTTTCTGCTTGAGTAAATGTTTCGGTTCCTCTTTTTCAGTTACCAGAAAACCTTTACCCCCAATTCCTGGAGAGGAAAGCAGAGTGAGTAATCACAAGACACTCATGCAGGGATTCTTGGGTGGATTCATTCACTTCCTCTGTCCTGCTGCAGCGCCGGCCCCCTCCTCCTGCTCCCCCGGGCGCAGAGAATGACGAGGAGGAAGATCAGGATGAAGACGATGATGATGAAGATGAGGAGGTGGTGGTGGCTCTGTACGACTTTCCGGCCACCGAGCCACACGACCTGAGCCTGGTGAAAGGAAGCGAGTACCTCGTCCTGGATAAGTGCGACATCAACTGGTACAGGGCGCGCGACATGTATGGGTGAGTGTGTCCGAGTGAACAGAAAAACATCTAAAGGGACATGTTTTAGCTCTTGTGTGCCCTCCTTGGGCAATTCATGGCCCGGATTAAATGAAAATGGGGTATGAATGATCCCAGGAGGGCGCACAAGGGTTAAATTCATCCACGCATACATTTTCTATACCACTTATTCTCAATGGGGTCGCAAGGAGAGCTGGGGCCTATCCCACCAGACAACAGGCGGGGAGTACTGGGCAGACCCTTGACAAGGTTGCCAGTCACTCGCAGGGCCACACAGAGACAAACAACCACACACACTCACATTCATTCCCAGGGGCAGAGCGAGTGTTGGACCATAAAGTTTTTACATCTTTATAACAGCTTCGATTACAAATTTGATATCCTGTAAAGTTCATCTTTGTTGAGCTCTCATGACTCTCATGCTGATAAATATAAGATAGATTACCCTATATCTTCTGCCATTCCTAAAATAGTTTGGAGTGGCGCTTATCACTCACTCTGCAAATATGTTGCCATTTAGAGGAAAAGAAGAGAGATAAAGAATGCTTGCCCTCGAGAGTAGGATTCTCCGTGACAGACATGGATAAAACACTGATAGGGAGAAGGGAATTGTTAGAAGCGAGAACATGAGTTTCTTTTAAAGAAATTAAGGACATTGTGGCACGTAAACCCATCTACATTTATACATTGTGTGAAAACCAAACAAAGGACATATATGTTTTGTATTCCTTCCAGAGAAGGCTTCTGTCTATTTTTCTAATAAAATGCTATAAACAAGTCATTTCCATCTTTTCACTCTGTTCCTGATTAACCGGTCATGTGGTTTTTGTGTTTCTCGCCCCCTTCGTCTCACTCCTTGTGTGTTTCCGTGTAGCGAGGAAGGCTACATCCCAAGTAACTATGTGACCGAGAAGAAGTCCGGAAACCTGGTGCAGTATGTGTAAGTCCATTAATCATTACCGCCTATAAAAAAAAGAACATCCCTACAAAATATGGTTAATTTTTAATGCTGTCTGACCCCGTGATCCTGATGATGCGTCGAAAAGCTGAATATTGTGAGGCCAGGATGTCGATCATGCTCAAAAGTAAAGTATCTGCTCATAGATTGTCTCTTTATGACACCACTCAACATTAAAACCATCATCAATTACAGATTTCAAGCTCTTCTTGCTGCTGTAAGATTTAAAAACAGGAAGTGGTGTCTCTGACATCACTTTGAAGTACTTTCACCGCAAGAATGCAAAAACTAGTCAAACTCATAGCAAGGGTCTGTTTTACTTGTACATTCAGCGTTATTCTTCACCTGCTGCTTAGCGAGAACCAAACAGCAGGTGGCCTCTGCAGGAGCAGGAGCTAAAGGCGAACGCTGAGCTGCTGCTGGAGGCTTTTCGTGAACTCCTTGAACAAGTACTTGATCAGCCCAAAAAAATGCATTACCCTGTCAGAGAGCCCACACAGCAGTTCCATAGAAGCTGGGATGGGATGAGTGTCATAGACATAAAACTTAAAGTGAAACAAATCAGCTCCTCTTTGAGTCTCATAATAGCACTGTGGCTTCAAAACTTTGAGGCGGGGTCATGTTTATCCCTCTTGTAGTATTCTATTCTGTCGTATTCTTTGCTGTAAGCGAAGGAATGATAGCTGCCCTTCCTGCCAAGGAAGGGCAGCTATCATTATTAATTGGCCCGTCATTAGTCAGAATACTTATCTGTAAAGTTCACTGTGACGGCAGACATTTGGATTAAGCCCGTTTGTAACACACTGCACTGCCAAAGCTGTCTGTAAAAAGCAGACTGGTGAGGGAGGTGGTCTCATGCTGACAGGATTCTTGTCTACACGTTTTAGGTGGTACAGTAAGCAAGTCAACAGAAACCAGGCAGAGGAGCTGCTGAGAAAAGAGGTCAGTGTGTTTCCTTTTGTACATTCTTCCTGTGTCATCTTTTACCCTTCCTACAGTGTAAAGATAGGATTTTTATACCATCATTTTGCTTGAAAATGGATCAGCCTAAACCGATTTTTTGACCATCACTGTCCTGTTAACTCTAAAATCTGAGAGCGACTCCAGCTACCTATTAGTAGGTCTTACAGACAGTTTCTGCCCAATATCTGACTCAGGGTTAGTTACATTCATTCATTAGATTACTTGAAAACATGACTTTGTAAGGAAGATTAGGTACGATTTGTGTGGTTTTATTAAGTTCTGTGTTGGAAAATTGTAAAAATGTTGCATGCAATCATTCACACTCTTTTAAAAGCATGGGAAAACCTATATTTGTATGTGTAGGGGTATGAGGTCCAGAAAACCCTGCAGTTCTGATTCTGTGTTTGTATCTCTGTCTCCCTCTGTAGGACAAAGAGGGATCTTTCATCGTCAGGGACTCCAGCACCCCGGGAACGTACACAGTGTCCCTCTACGCCAAGTCTGTTGGAGGGTAATGCTCCACCCGTGTCCATCATGTCCACTTTTGAGATGGTGGAAATCAGTGTCACTGTAATGGTCCAAAGTCACAAAAAGCTTAGTTTTTTGGAGGCGGTTGTCTTGCATCTTTTTATCAATATTTTGCAAAATGTCTTTCTTGGTTTGGGATGCTTTTGGAGTATTTTGAAGAGCTTTCCACAGTTCCCCTCAGTCATGCTGTGTCGTAATCTTATCTCAGGATGACTTTGTGAACCTGAGATGAGCCCTGTTGGTGGGCCAGGTCACAATCTGCAGAAGAGTTGTGTTTTTGAAATGATGTTATGTTTCAGGATAGGCTTAGATATGCGAAAAACATGTGAAAATATTAATCAATTCAAGTGTGTAAAACAGGCCTATGTACAAAAGAAATGGTGCCAATTATCTTGATGAAATTCATGCCTCTGCATTCTCTCTGCTCATTTTGTTGGGTTTGTAGGGACGGGGGCGCCGCTATCAAACATTATCACATCAAGGAGACTAAAGGCGTGCCCAACCAGTTTTACCTGGCGGAAAAACACCTCTTTAACACCATCCCTGACCTTATCGAGTACCACAAACACAACGCAGCAGGTAACCCCGGGCCATCAGTGAGCCACCATTCATAAAAAAGCTAAATATAGAGAACTGTAAAATCTTCCAGTAGATTCTTTTTTCACGGTTCGGGCTCATAAAACATTTGCATCGATTTGTATTTTTTTTCCCCAGGTCTGGTCGCCAGGCTGCGATATCCCGTAGGAAAACAAGACAAATCTGCTCCTTCTACCGCTGGATTTAGTTATGGTGAGTTAGTTCACAGCTCCCCCCCCCACACCACGAACCAAACTGCTTCCCCCATGCTCCATCTCTGAAATCTCTTCCCTCTCCAGAGAAGTGGGAGATCAACCCGAGCGAACTGACCTTCATGAAGGAGCTGGGCAGTGGTAATTTTGGCCAAGTCCGGCTGGGCAAGTGGAGGGCTCAGCACAAAGTGGCCATCAAGGCCATCAGGGAGGGGGCCATGTACGAGGAGGACTTCATCGAGGAGGCCAAAGTCATGATGTAAGGAGGCTGAGAGGGGAAGCTAGGGAGGAGACATGTTTGGAAAGAAAAGACAAGAAAGAAAATGGATTATTTGATCAATATTACCCCTGAAAATCAGGGGCCTCAGAGTAAAGGCTGGGAAAAAAACATTTTAGTTATGAGGAAAAACATTAACATATAATTCTGCCTGCTGATACAAAGCAGTTTAAGTGGGAAGATTCTGACAGAAAACCAGGCCGAAGTCTTTCTAAAGGAACTTCAGTCCACCGGTGGTCATTGCTGGGATTCCTCAAATCCAAGTGTCTCATTTTAGAGGCGTCGTCCATTTTTAAGGAGGAAATTAAACAAACGCGTTCCTTTTAGGAGGCTGTCCCACCCGAAGCTGGTGCAGCTGTACGGGGTGTGCAGTCAGCAGAAGCCCATTTACATCGTCACAGAGTTCATGGAGCACGGCTGCCTGATAAACTACCTCAGGCAGCGGCGGGGCAGCTTCAGCCAGGGGTCCTTGCTGAGTATCTGCCTGGATGTCTGCGAGGGCATGGATCACCTGGAGGCCAACGGCTTCATTCACAGAGACCTGGTGACGTCATCCTTGCCATTTCGGAACAGCTTAAGCTCAACACTAAGGCTGTTGAGCTGTCCACTTTCATCCTAGTTTGTTTATTTGTCTTTGTTTCTCCTCTGAAGGCTGCCAGGAACTGCCTAGTGAACGACGCTCTGGTGGTTAAGGTGTCAGACTTTGGAATGACCAGGTACAAGTTTGATTCTGTTTTGCTTACTGGTTCCTTTCTCATTTGGAAGGGCTCCCGTCACAGGTTGGCATAACTAAAAATGCTGTCCGTGCAGATATGTGTTGGACAACCAGTACATCAGCTCATCGGATGCCAAGTTTCCCGTGAAGTGGTCGCCTCCTGAGGTCTTCCACTTCTGCAAATACAGCAGCAAGTCGGACGTCTGGTCCTACGGTGAGCAGGTTTTCCTCTCCAGGGGTCATTCCCCTTTGAAGGGATCCGGCGTGAAGGTCCCGGCTTTATCCGCTCGTCTTCATGCAGCCCTCATATTGTTGTGTGTGCAGGCGTTTTGATGTGGGAGGTCTTCACCGAGGGGCGCATGCCGTTTGAACAGAGTTCAAATCACGAGGTGGTCACCTTGGTATCACAGGGTCACCGTCTCTACAGACCAAAAATGGCCACCCCCGGCTTGTATGACATCATGCAGAAGTGTTGGTGCGAGGTGAGAGGCCACACGTTTGTCCCTGTTTTAACCTGAGAATGATGTTAAAGAGGCTTTGAATTTTTTTTTTTTTAAGGGCTGAAGGGAGCAGAGAAATAACTCCGAGCCTAAAATTATAACTATTAGGGGGACAGTTATACAATATCTCATAGTAAAATTCCAGGTTCCCATCTTTGAACAGTGTATCTCTCTTGTTTTTGCAGAGACCGGAGGAGCGACCCTCCTTCTCCCAGCTTTGTCTGATGCTGTCTGACGCCCTGGAGGAGGACATCCCATGACCGCCCCGACCCCTCTCAGCCTCTCCAGCCTCCGCCCTCGCTGCTGCGGCCATGTGAGCTGCCCTCCTCAGCCCTGGTGCCCTGCCATCCGGGAGGCTGCTGTGGAAGTGGCAGCATTCTGCCAGTCGTGCTCCCGGCTTCTGGAACCTATGAATCAAAAGAACGGGGGAGTCGCAGCTGCACTGCACTCCCTGAGCAGGGATGTTCACAGCACACGCCTCCTTAACTTCAGCACAGCTGACACGAAGGCAACAACGGGCAGACCAAAGAACTCCCCTGATGGACTGGAAAATGTCTGCTGGACTCTCTGTGTGTGTGTGAATCCCTCCATAAGGTTTGGATTCTTTAACTGACAAATGAAGGGAAAGGACTGTTTCCACTGAGCAGAATATTTATTCAGTTGGAGGATTTTTTCCTGCAACAGTTAACAAGTCTCACCAATTCCTGCTGTGCCTGGTCTTTTGGCTATTTTTAGGCGGGATGCTGATCTGTTTTCATGTCTCTGCTGTGAAATTATGGACCATAATATTAAATCACTTTACAGAAAACTAATTATTTGGTTGTTGTTGTTCTTTCAACATAAGCTATATTTATGACTGTGTTTGCTTCCAATTTTCTGCAGCCAGCAACTGCTGAGTGTATGTCACCTTTCAGAATTAACCACAGGAACTATATTTGTTGTTACTTCCACAGAATTTGACCAGACACTGCTTGACTGGTTTTCTGTGAGGGTGGTATGTTAACTTTAAAGCTACTGTTTTAGTTTTAGGAGTTTTGCATAACTTTCTCTCAACAGGTCACCGACCATCTTTTTTGTGCTTCAGTTTTATTGGAAAATAAAGACAAACTTATTTATGATAAAAACAATCTGGAAAAAGCTTGACTAAGCAAAACGGGAGGTGATAAACGGTGACTAAAGGGTTGAAGACACACTAAACAACATTATCATGTTGTGGCTCATGCAATATAAAGATAAAAAATATACATGCAAAGAAAACTTTTTCAAGGAGGTAGTTATGCCAGTGCAATCTGACTCCAAATATTTGCTCAAATAGTATATTCAATGATTTAAACATCCCAGGCAAACATTTGACATTTTGTGAACAAGTTGGACAGAACAAACTAACAATTTGTAATAAATTGAAAAAGTCAATATAAATCATACTTCTTGTCTTTGAAAAATCTCAGTTTTCAGACCTCGTTTCAGTCATTGTGTCACTCACACCATCGTGAGAGTACTTTGGAAAGCACAAATGAATTTTAGAACAGAGTCAAACCTGATTTTAAGAAGTAGTAACTTAAAAAAATTATGCAGATACATCTGATCATTTAGATTTAGAGTTCTAAGACTGAAACAGAAATTGTATCATATGAATCCCAGTACTGAGTCCACTGTGTAACCTAATCAGTGTCATTTACATCTCATTTGTAGATGGAAAAATATGTGTATCTATTTTTTAAATCTAAATACACAGTATGCTAAACTAAAAACAAAAAAATATGTATGATAAAGGGAGAGAATCATGATAGTTTGAGAAAGGCCAGCCTGAAAATTGGGGAATTTAATCATCAGTTTATAAAAATAGAAAATACTGTCTTAAAATGTCAGAGAAAAAAAAAGTCTATTCTATAATCAAATGCATTGAAAAAACATCTCTCGGTAACAGTGTTGTACACAAAAACACCAGTATGCCTTTCATCCAGATGCGCCTCCGTTAACTTCTGACTATTTCAGTTGAATTAACTCAGCCGTGTCCCCATCGGAGTAAAACAAAAGTCCTGCGTGCAGTGGCTGAGTGAATGTGGTCTGGACTCGGTGCAGCAGGGTCATCCGGTCAGAGATGCTGTAGAAAGACAGAACGCCCGCTCTGTGATCCAGATACACTCCTACCCTGAAGAACTGAGAGCCTGAGAGAGGAGTTTTCACATTGTTGTGCCAAAACGTGTAGCTGTTTTTGTCGCAGCACAGTGCCCAGGACTTGTCGTTGCACCCTAGCAAACACTCATTTAGGCGCCCTGCTCTCTTGATGCTCTTGTATGTGACAGCAACACGAACTCCTCCCCTTCTGGACTCCACCTCCCAGTAACAGCGTCCAGTCAGACTCTCTCCGCCCAGAACCTGATGCCAAGCGGTGAACCTGTCTGGGTGACTGGAGTAAGACTGTTCCTGCTTCATGTACGTTGCTTTTCTGTTCCCATCGGACAGCAACAAATGCGCGTGTGCCGTGTTTGGATCCAGTGTGATTTCCGTTGCAAATTCTAAGAAGTCGGCTCTGGTTTGTGGTTCTGGTTTTGGCAGCAGGACGTCCGGCTCGGACACGGTCAGTGAGATGTGCGTCCACTGCTCTGTCAGCACGTCCTGCAGCTTCTCTCTGGTCTCTGACACAGCGGCCGTCACTTCCTCAAAGTAGCTCCGAGGCCGAGTGTTGATGCTGGAGGAGTGTGCAGACTCACTGAGAGCTGACAGTGAGGGGTAGCTGTGGAGGAACTGGTTGTGGTCCTCTGTGTGTGAGAGCTTCACCAGCTGGCCGTCTCTCCTCTTCAGCTCCCAGATCTCCTGCTTCAGCTTCTCCTGGAGCTCCTGGACTCGACTCACTTCGGTTTCCTGCTGGGATCTGAGCTGCAGCTTCACATCGGAGCTTCTTTTCTGGAGGAGGCGGATCAGCTCCATGAAGGTCCTCTCGCTGTCCTCCACTGCTTTATCAGCAGAGCCGTTGATGGCCTCCGCCTCCTGCTGAAGCAGCTGCACGTCTTCCTCTCGCTCCTGGATTCTCTGCTGGATTTGTTGGCGGCTGGCCTCCAGCTCCTTCTGCTTCTCGGTCCTTTCTGCTTCTGCTGGGACCGTTTCATGGCCTTTATGCTCGTCCATTAAGCAGAGATAACAGATACTCTGCTGGTCGCTGCGACAGAAAATCTTCATCACCTCATCGTGACGGGAGCAGATGTTCTGCTGGAGCTGCTTGGAGGGATCCACCAGCTCGTGTTGTTCAAAAGCAGGAGATTCGTAATGAAGCTTGAGGTGTTTCTCACAGTAGGATGCCAGACAGACCAAGCAGCACTTGATGGCTTTCAGCTTCTTCTCGGTGCAGACGTCACAGGCCACATCTTCAGGCCCAGCATAGCAGTGATTCTCAGCAGAAATCTGGAGTCCAGCCATCTTCAGCTCCTCCACCAACTCTGCCAACATGACGTTTTTCATCAGGGCAGGCCTCATAGTGCAGGTCTGGCCACACTGAGGACAGCTGTGGACTTCCTCTTGAGCCTCTCGGTCCCAGAAGCTTTGGATACAGTCCATGCAGTAGCTGTGCCCACAGGGAATAGTCACCGGATCCCTCAGTAGGTCCAGGCAGATCGAACACGAGATGGATTCTTCCAGGTGATCTTCTTTCGCCTCCATCTCACTTTAGGTTGCCAACGGCTGAGCAAATTTTCTTTTTCAAGTCGGACTAGTTTTAGCTTTGTTCTAACCAGCGGGCTTTTCTGTGGTGAATGGCTTCTGTTGGCCTTTGCACTTCAATTGTCTTCAAACTCCAGATCTAAGGGAGAAGTTGTTAAAACGGTTAGTTTATGAACTCTGGACCATGTTTGAAGAAGAAAAAAAAAATTGTAAAAATAATATATATATATATATATATATATATATATATATATATATATATATA